TGGGACACACTGTATATATATATATATATATATATATATATATATATATATATATATATATATATATATATATATACAGGATGTTCGGTAACTGATCGAGCAACCGCTGTATACGGATAGAACGGGTTAAAATAATCATAAAAGTTACATACCATTTTGAAATTTTCTCAATATTTATTCCGTAATTAATTAAAATGTATAAACGAATGAGCTCACGAGAAGCGGTAGGACAGGCTCTGTGTGTAAAATAAATGGCTTACCTCTTATACGTGTATGTGTTAACGTAAACGTGTCGCTTGTTACTTCGCTTCGAAATCAGCTGTTTATTCATCGTTGCTAAGAGGTAAGCCATTTCTTTCACACACAGAGCCTGTTCTATCGTTTCTCGTGAGCTCATTCGTTTATACATTTTAATTAATTACGGAATAAATATTGAGAAAATTTCAAAATGGTATATAACTTTTATGATTATTTTGACTCGTTCTACCCGTACACAGCGGTTGCTCAATCAGTTACCGGACATCTTGTGTGTGTGTGTGTGTGTGTGTGTGTGTGTGTGTGTGTGTGTATGTGTATGTGTATGTGTATGTGTGTAATATACACACAGATATATATATCCATCTCAAGTTTGTTTTAAATTAATACTTAATTTTACATTTACAAATACTTTTGTAAATTAACATTTATAAATTACTTAATTAAATAATAGAAACTTCATTCTGCTTGACAAATAATAAGTTTATAAGTGGTTTCTTTGATACGTCACCGAAAACATGCGACATTAAGCTTTACAATCTTCTTAATATTATTCGTAATAAAATGTGCATTTCTTTTTTCAGAACGAATGACGATAACGGACGAGACGCAACGTAAGAAATAAATTGCAAGAAAGCAAATTCAACGGGTGCGGTGTAACGTCCAAACAAAATATGTCGACCTTAGGAATGTCTTGTTACGAGGATGGATTTCGATTGGGTGGGCCACCGTCGGAGTGCTCTCTCAGGAGCAAGGCGCAGATCGACGCACTGTTCGAGGACTCTAGGTGAAAGCCTATTGACTGCTTCTAATTATGTTGAGTCTTCTTGGTATTAAACATTCACTAGTCTTAGTTACAACCGAATTTATTGATTAAGCGACATTTTTATATATTCGTATTATACATCATGACTGTTAATTATTCTGAGAAAGCGACAACCTTGAAGTAGTCTCAACACTGCACGAATATATAAATATATTACGCGTGTTCAGAAAATTCAACTGCAACTAAGTCTAGCAAATGTTATATAATATATAACATATTATGCCAGCTTGTATACATTAAGCTTCAAGTAAATAGCGCGTACGTATCCAAGTTTGTTCACTTACAATTAGCTTAAAAACGGCTTGAACACTTTTTCTCGATGCAATTTGGAACGCAGTCAATAATCCAATAAGAGAACTTGTTTTTTATTAATTGCCAGGGATTAAGTCCTCATTGGATCACTAATTATCTTCTAAACTGCATCGTAGTGTTTAAACCGTTTGACACAGAGAAAAAAGTATTAGAAAATTTCTTTGGCGGATATAAATTTTATTTCCATGAAATAAAGTTTATTTCTGTGAGTAAACTTTATATTCCACAGATAAATGTTCAAGTTTTTCCTTTTCCCGGTGTAAAATTAAATATACGCGAAAAGAATTTTATAGTAAAAATTACTATAGAATTTTGTAACTGAGGAATAGATCGACGTTCTGCAGTAATTCATTATCCTTTCATTTCAAATGAGCTACTTATAATTCAAGAACTGAAATATGCTATTAAAATATTTGCTATGTTTCTAGCGAAATCTGCTTTGTTTCTAGTGAAATTTTACTTGCTATTCTAGCTATTTTACTTGCTATTCTTTAATAAGATAGAGCTTACTAACAACTACTAAAAACATAGTAAAATTGAAAAAAATTTATATAAAAGAAGAACATATAATACTCTCTCCATATATACATTCATATTCGCATTGAATGACATCACGTGCTATCTTCGGCACGCCTTTAACGAATCTTGATCGCTTTAGATCGATCTGCAGCTCAGCACTGGGAGGGTGGTACGCTGGATTATCCGCCGTTATTCCGACTAGCCCCGACGACACAAGCGCCGAGGAGCAGAAAAGGGTGAACAGTGCCGTCCAAGCGCGCATTGAGGCGATGTTCGCCTCGGTGGAGGCCGAAAGTGGAACGCCCGGTGAATGTGCCGCCGCTATCTTGCCGGTAATGACACAAATTACGCACGTGGAGCAGAGTTTATAAGAGACCCGTACGCCACATCTGTTCGAGCGATCTCGGTACCGCGTCTGATTCCGCGTAGGAGCGGCTGCAAGGGCGGCCCACGTTGCCATGTACATTTTCACTTATGTTAATTCTATTGTGCTTCTGTATATGCCCCTTCGCTTGGAAAATCTTCGCGCAGATTACCGGCTGAACGGTCGTTCCGTTCTACTCACGAGGGCCTTCGTACCGAAACGAAAGAGGCTCACCTACTTCGCCAGCGAACGTGACCCTTAAGCGCGTTTTAATACGCATTTCGGTGTCAAAACAGCTGGGAAATCCATTCCTCCGCGAAAGAGAGCGCCGGGATTTAATGGCATATTTATGGGGAAGATACGAAACTGTGTGGGAACTAAACGCAGAAAAAAGAACGTTTCTAACGGAGTGAGATCAAATTCTTTTTTCTCTCTTAGAAGCATGCTATAACACGTGGATACTACCCTTTTTTCTGTGAAAGTATGATTTATCGAATAATTAGAATCATTCGTTGAATGATCTTTCGAGTTATATCTCTTCGACTTGTGCCCCACAAAAGTTCAATCAGTCAGTCTTGTTGGACTTAATTAATTTCTTATCGAAAATAGAATTTGAGATCAGTGAAAAGTTTTATGAAAAGAGTGGCGCACCGAGTGGTACTATTTTCCGCCTCAGAAATCTCGCGTAAATCACCCTGATGATGCTAGCAGCGATTCCGTGTCAGGAATAAAATTGAGATCGACGTATAATTACTCGCGAGCTGGTTGCTCGTTAGAAAGGAAAGAATTGCGGCGCGGCGATCTTCCGAGGAGCAGAACGTACGATCTATCGCGAATAGATTCGTCAAAATTAAGGGAGAAAGCAAATTATATATATATCCGAGGTTTCTTACAATCAACTTGAGATGATATCACATCTTCGGCGATGTTTAATCGCTCTCGGATAATAGCGTTTTTCTAATTAATGTTTGTATATTAAGTTGATAATATCGCGCTTTAATTAGAACGTCGTAACACACGATACAAAGTACTTCCAATAGAGGGAGGAAACGCTTTGATGATCACAAGAAGAACTGCAAGACAGTAAAAGTCTTGCAATTCTGAAACTGCAGTAGCCAAATTTTACACAATGAGCCACAAAGCAAAATCTTACGATGGATTTCTTACTAATTTACAATCAATGGCGTGTATGCTGTTTTCCCTAGAATACAAAATCTTTTTCAAAATTATGAACAATCTCTGCGTATTATATACATTAAAATGCGTCTATCTAATACAGCGTTCAGTTCCCTTCATTGTCGAGTATGCCTCCGAAATGGAAACGTGAAAACGGCATCATTATAATGGATTGGCCTTCACAATCTCCTGACACTAATTCCATTGAAAACATGTGGGCAACCATGAAGATAAAGCTTCGGAAAAAACAAGTTTTCACTTTGAAGTAGTTGACGTATCAGTTTCGTACAATATAGAGGCATTACTCGAGACATTAGCGAAAAATTTCATTGAGAACATGCCTCGACGCTACCAAAGCATACTCAATAATGGAAGGAACTGGGCACCGCCTTAAACGCATTGTAATGTAACGTATATTAAGACTGTGTTTATAATTTTGGAAAAGAATAATTTCTATTTATATTAAATAACATAAATAATTTATATATATTAATAATAATAATTATATATTTTATTATATATTATAGTAATAATAATAATTTATATTAATAATTTATATTTTAGGAAAAATAGCGCATACGCTCTTGTGCCACAGTATCACTTCGTCCATCGAAATATAGCGAAGTATAACATACTTCGCTGGAAATAATCTCGAATATCTCGAAACATAAACACAATCCGCGCATTCATAATCACTAAAAGAAGAAAAGAAGGAAAAGAGAAATTTGCGATTGCTATCGTCGGGAGATACTCCGATTCGAGAAAAGGGTCGCGAAAAGTCCTCGGACTTTCCTCGGGCGTCGATCCGGAATCTTTAATCATCACTTTCATTCCGCTCACGACCCGCGAAGCGTGACAGACCTCCACAAACTATTCGGAGCGCTGAAAAATTCTCCTTCAGTTGTTACGCCGGTATGCGGATTCCTTCGCCGACACGCTATTCTGCTTTGTGGGCTTTGCGTTGTTTCGCCTCGCCTCGCATAATTTCGGTCGCGAAAGAAGCTGCCGATTGATCGATCGAGTTACATCACTTGATGAGAGTACTTGCTTAGACGTGGCAGTCAATCATAATGATCAGACTGATCTGACAGCAGCTGTTTGTTACATCGATATCACTGACTTTTATTCTTTTCGTGGTCGAAAGGAATTCTGCGCTTCTTCGTTTATTACTATAGGTAGAATCATTAAATCTCACTAAACAAACCAATTACGAAAGATAAGAACTGCTGTTTCATCGAGACAGTAAATTCTCATTAATTACAACGCGAAATTCATGAGCTCACCTACATATACTTATACGCCCGTATGTAGGATATTCGAATTTTATTCTTCAAAACGCACGCACATCACGCACATTATATTGATAGTGAGTAAGACGATGATACTGCAAAATTCCTCCGCTAAATTTAGAATATTTTATTACGCTCATGATGCACAATAAAATCTCGAATGTTACGATCCTACGTTTATCTTTGATAGTACCACTTATTAAACAAAACAGGTTTCCACTGGTTTCAGACTGGAATACATAAAAGAAACACAACTGACTTTTTATCAAGTGCTATTTTTACAAACATATGTCATCCTTCTACAGTATTGTATGTGTGTATTCTGAAGAAGCTCGCCATAATAAATAACAAATCCTATATTACATTAATACATGCTGAAATTCTATTAAATATATAAAATATATTTAAACATATTGAAATATATATATATATATATATATATATATATATATATATATATATATATATATCTATTAAATATATTGAAATAGCATTCCGAGAGATTATAGTATGTAATTTTTATCAACATATTTTGAACTATTTGCTCTAATAATATACACTTTTTATGACAAATAAGACATTTCATGTTTTTTATTGGTTTTTGTTTTATTTTATTTTATTTCTATACATTTACTTTATTTTATGTACGTCATTATCTATACATGACATGTTATTTTATTTATTAGGTAAAATATATGGGAGCTGCTCCGGTCGGTGGACGCGTGGCTAGTGTGCGTGGTCTTCAAGAGCCTCTTCGTCAACTGTTAGAGCGCATAGAAGGTTGCATCAGAGCCGAGCTGGAGGTTTCCAGACGCGGCCTGACGTTCCGCACCAGCGACGTCTGCGAAAAGAACAATCCTTTCCGCAGAATAGCGGTATGGAGCGCCCTAAGGCTTCGATGCAAGAGAGTACCATCGGGCGACTTGCATCACGCCTTCTTGCCTTTAGTTGGTGATCAAGATCAGGGACAGACAATGGAAGATAGACATGCCGATCTCTACAGGTAAGAGCAATGTCATATTTATATGCTCAATGCACTTAATTTCTCTTCCTTAATTCTCCTAATCTCCGGGTATCTGTAGTATTTTTACTTTCTTTTTATGGAAAGTTATCTCGCTTGTAGGACTTTTTATATGTCTGCTTGTGTATTAACGATTTGCATACTTTATATCGAATAAAGTTGCAATAAGTTTAAATCATCACAATTACGTGCTATTGCTGACGTGCATTTAACATAATAGATTTGTTCGTTTTCAAAGAACTTCTGAACTAGTGCAGTAAGTTAGTAAAACAAGAATATATTTTCGTTCATTTTAGCTTATTGTATTAGTGTATATTAGATTATGTAGAAGTTTTTTGAAAACAAACAAACCTACTGTCACGTTATCTCTTATTTTGTGCAAAGTATAGAAAAATTACTTCAAAATAATATTCTCTTATTTTAAAATAAATTTTTCTTTCCAAATTTATTGTCGCACCCTATATTGTCGCCTCATCTTCTGTCATACCGATTACTGCGTATATACATGTCAACAGTGGTTTTCAATTTTGATAATCTAAAACATTCAATTCTAAAACATTGCAACTTTATTCGGTAAAAAATATGCAAATATGTCTCTCCCTGTCTTTCCCTGTCTCTCCCTGTCTCTCCTTGTCTCTCCCTGTCTCTCCCTGTCTCTCCTGTCTCTTCCTGTCTCTCCCTGTCTCTCCCTGTCTCTCCCCGTTTCTCCCCGTCTCTCCCTGTCTCTCCCTGTCTCTCCTTATAATTATTAATTAATTAAAGTATATTTTAATTTAATGTAATTTAATTTTTATTTTATTTTTATTTTACATTTTTTATTGTTTTTTATGCGCCTAGCGCGCGCATGCATTGTTCTAGTGCTACGATAAAATACGTAATTTTATTCTTAATTTTAGGACAATGCGCGGTTTGAAAAGTGAAGTAGATATCTATCCCCCAATCTTCGCCGTGGTAATGCGACGACCTGGGGCTGCTAGGCTCTTGGAATGCCACGCGTTTGCCTGCGAATCCGAAGAAGATGCTGTGGCAGCCGCGGCGACGTTATATCGTGCTCTTCTTGCCGATCTGGACGCGAATCGCCGACGACCTCGTCACACAAACGGTGTCGGTTGCATCAGTCTAGCGTCCGTCGTTTCCAGCGCCCGAGAACCTAGTTTAAGCAGTAGGATTGGGTGTTTGCTACCTCCGCCACCAAGGCCAACCGCGCCGCATCCTGTGAGGCCACCCAGGACCAAAAAGACGTCTGTGAGCAGTTCCATCACGGAGGAAGAGGGCTTGAAACCCAGTTTGCAAAAAGTACCTCGCAGAAAAAAGCAGAACTCAGATGTCAAGGCAGAGGACATTCTTGAAGCACGTGGGAGAAAACGAGACGTCAAGATCGAGAAAAACATTTTAGGGCAAAGTAATCGAGATATCGTGCTATCTAGAAACGAGGAACTGCAAAATTCCAGAAATAAGATGTTCTCTGCCAAGGACCAAAACTCTTTGCGAATACTGATCGAGTCCAATGCGAAAACCGAGAAAATATACAATGTTAGGGATAACGACACAAACGGTATTTACGAGAAGCGATCGAAGTATGAGAAGATATACAAACAGAACAATTCGAAGAAGGAAACGACTGATCTAAAGAACGACGTTTACGAGAGGAATTACGGATCGTATGATTTGAATCGAACAAACGCCGAAAATATCGCTTGCGAACGACAATTGTACTCCAGAACTGACTGCGTTTTCATGTATGATAAGATCGACAAAGTCGGAAGAAACGGGGCAAACTCCACGACGTATGAACAAGTCGTCAGGAAGAAAGAAAATATTTACAGCTCACGCATTGAAGACGCCGACAAGATCTATAGCCTCGGGAAGGAGGACATTTACACGACAAAGAGTACCAGAGAGTACGAGCGTGGTCAAATGAAAAGCCGCCAAGAGGACGTATTCTTCGCAAAGAATTTGAAAAACAACGAGCACTATCAGTCGCACCAGGAACACCGCGAGGACGGTGGCACGGCGGATCAGCAGAAGCGTTCAAGAGACCCGGAGAAAGTGTATTCCGGCAAAAGAGTCAGCCGAGTTGTCACCATGGACAAACCACTGAAGAAAGACCAATTGGATCCCGCTTGCTCGCTGAACATGCCGGAATACAGCCGTCCTCGGATGAGAAGACGAAGCAGAGCGGGTAGCGAGCCTCCGGTCAGCCATTCGGAGAACGCGAGTAAGAACCTGGAGGAGAACAGTCTCAGGCGAACGCAGAGCGACATAGACGTGGACCGAGGAGATTTAATGACCAGAGTCGAATTACCTAGAAGAGGCAGCTTCTTGACCTCCGGTAGTACCCGAAGGCCTAACAATATCAAAGGAGGCACACCGCTAGGATTCACGGAACTGTTCGACGAGTTCAGAAATCAGGAGGGGTTGACCAGTGTGGACGACATTCTGGCAGCCATTATAGGTAATTATGTTGTAATTGTATCTTGCGTTTTACATATTTTACTTGCAACTCGTTCTTCAATGATAAATATAAGGTAAAAACTCCTAATATATCGTATATCTAATTATAAAAACATATAGAAAAAAGAATCTATATTTGAATATCATATGCCTTGCATTTCTTTTGAAATTTATTTAAATATGATATTATTATGGTAGTATAGATATATTAACATATATTGTTACAGTTGAAAAACTGAAAAATAGAAAAATTACGATTCTGAAAAATGACACCTAGTATACTTTGCAAAATTTTTTAAATTAATCAATAACATCGTGGTATGTTGCGAAAAAGTTTAGAGTTTATATCAAGTCAATTGACATCAATAATTACAATTGTTCTTATGTAATTATCTTCAAAAATTACTTATTTGTCACGCTTGTTCTTATACACTGAACATGTTTCAAACACTAGTAACATACTATTTTAATGATTGATGAAATTTAATATATATGACTTATTTAGTTATATGTATAACAAAACCAATTTAAAAATTACAATGCTCTGTGGAAGCCTAATGAAATCAACTATACGATATTCGAGACAAACATATATATATATATATATATATATATATATATATATATATATATATATATATATATATATATATATTGTATTAGATACCCATGTACTATGACATAAAACTATTTATCGAGTCTTTTGCAACGTTGCAAAGTAGATATACATTTCATTATTGATACTACTTTACTACATCTACATTATATACATGTTCTACTTACCTTAACTTTACGAAATATATTTCTTTTGATGCATCCAAAATGTTAAAGTTATCTTATAGAAAAACGCTTTTCGTTCTCAGTAAACAAGTTAATAGCAGAATACGCGCAAATTGGCAGCAAATTTTATTAGAATTCTATAATAAAATCATAGTCATCTGTGTCCACATTCAGCTTGTGTTTTGGCATCGGAGTCTGCTGACAGGCAATGTAAGCAGATTGGCAGTAGAAACTGAGCAGATCCTATCGCGCAGCAAAATCTGATTGGTTTCTGCTGTCAATTTGTCATCAGATCGTTACAGACTCTGCTCGATTATCGGTTCTATCATATTTTTGGCGGCAGTTTAGCAACATAATCAGATATAATAAATCCTGTGTTAAATTTGCTGTCTTTAAAAAATTTGTAGTAAGCTCTGCTCAAAATTTGTTTACGCAGGTTTGTCTATTCGGACAATGTCCTTAATATCGACCTATAGTAGACTGCGCTATCCCTTACTTTGTTCGTATATGAAACAAGGTCCAGAGAGTGAGTGAGATAGCAAGTGGCCGCGGACTATCTCTGTCTCTTTCTATGAATGTTTCGTCCTAACTAGAAAAAGACATATATTGCCGCGAACTTGTGTTGTCCTTCTTCCGCATCGAGACGCATTTTCAATTAGCGTTGTGCAGTCCATTCTATAGGTCGATGGTCCTTAACGAATGACGCCCATAATATAATATGTCTTTCATCAAACATTAGAGAACAAGTTTCATCTGTTTCTAACAGAATGCAGTTCTTAATTGCTGAAATTTTCCAAACAGCACAGATCTCCACAGGATATCCTCTCCCTGGTAAAAAAAAGTTGATAGAGAACGATTGAGAACTATAGAATTTCTATCAATATATTTGTATTGTTTTCTATAAGCTCTATCGTTCGCAAGCGTCAGCATTCGCGAGCATCAGATATAAATCCTATCGTATTTTATCTGGTTCTATAAGAATCGGGTTCTATTTGTATTATATAGGAAACTGACGATAGAAATTCTATCACTATCTATTGTATTCTATTGTATACGATAGAATACTATTCACATTTGTGAATTCACAAACCAAAATCCATATTCAAAACGATAGAAAACAATAGAACGATAGAATTTTATTCTATCGATCTCTATAAACTTTTTTTACCAGGGCTCTCTTTCTTTCTCTGTCTAAAGATGTTCTGAGAACATTTCTACATACTGAAAACATCCCTAAGACATCCTCTGAAGATCTTGTGCTGTCTGGGATATCTTGTGCTGATGTGATATTAAGTATTGTACGATATTATATCCATGCGCACAATTGTTTTTAGATCCTGAAGGTATGTCGTTCAACGATTTAAAGCCACTCTACAAAGAATTCTTGTTGAAACTGGCCGCGACTTTGACGCAAGACGAACTGTATCAGAGATCTGCTAGTATTATGAGAAGACGGCGGCGACCGCAAAGACGGCGGTCTAGCCGTAGATCTTGTTTGTTAGGCAGAGCTATCAAGAGATCGGTCTCGAGGCTGAAAGGCGGCCCCACAGAATTTACGTCCGTTATATTCCCGGCTAGAAGACTGAATGACAGTTTTGGCAGCAGTTCGTCGTGCGACGTCAGGAACAATCACCGGAACCGAGTGTTGGCAAGCAGACTTGGTAGAAGGAAATCCTCTTGGCGGAAAAGCAAAACCGGGGCATGCCACACAACTTCAGAAGACAGTGACACGTGTATGTAAAAGAAAAAAATTACATTAGTCGTTAAAATTAGATTACTGATCACTGAAGATTCCTCTGTTTCACAACAGGTCTTTAATCGACCGATTAACCTGAAATTTTAATAATAATAGTAATAATAGCGAATAGTTAACACATTCTGTGACAATTAAATTTATTGCAATCCATCATCCAAAAATATGTAATCTCATCCTTAACGGAATTCTTTTACATATAATCTCTTCTAAAATCAAAGGGAAAGTATTCTAAGCAACAATATTATTCTCTTTATTAGAAAAGGAATACATTTTAGTAAAAGTTCTCACCTAGTCAACGTGGTTCTCGTTAAACTGCAGCATCCTAATGTCATTGAATTACATAGGTAAACGACTGAATCGCGGTATGGGTGCCACAGCGAACAGAAGCAGCAGTGGATACGTAAGTTGCAGCGAGTGCAGCTACGATTCCGAATCGTGCACCTGCGTGTCGGCAGACAAGTGTTACTGCTCGTTATCTAGAAGAATACCGGCTACCTCTGTACCTGAAAACATGATTGTTTGCGCATGCGACACGGATAGTTGCTCCGAGAGTAATAAGTGTTACTGCGCGAGGAAGCCAATTCAGCCGACTATAATGGAGCAACTCAGGCAAAAAGGAATCGTGCCTTCGGAGAGTACACTCAGTCGGGGTGACAGTCCCGACAGGATCAAAGGCTCGAAAATGACCGGCAGTCACAGCTCATCGCATAACACCGATTTCCTCAAGGTAACTGCTGAGAAAAACATCCCGCTAATTATATCAGTCACTTGTTTAGCCGTAATGAGCTTATTTGCACACGCGAATTCTGCTTCAGAATCAATCATCACCAGCCTGTGGCAGTTCGGACAATTTAGCTTTAGATTACGATCTCTTCAGTCCAGGAAGAAAATCTCAGCAGTCGTCCGGCAGCGAGAAAGTCCTTGTCGTTAGCGCCAGAGACACTCAGGGCCGTTTGGTTTACGTCGGCGGCGCGGAGAGAGACAAGAAGTATTCTTCTCGCGGCAGCGGACGATCCGGTGCGCATCACGAGGCGCTCTCTATAAAGAAGAGCGCGGAGATCGCCGCGGTCTTCGGCGCGGGAGAAAGCAACAGAATCTCCAGAAGGACAAGTAACGCGTCGAGCATAAGAAGTTCGATCAGCCTCGAAGCTGGATTGGGCTATTTACCCTAATAAAACTGCTTGAACTATCCGCAAGCACTTGAATATTCAATATTAAATACTATAACACGCATGTACACGTACACGCATACACTTATACACATTTTGCCATTCGCGCGTTATGACCAAAGGGTCCTTCTTAAACATATCGTGATTTCGTTAGTTGTGTCTATCGACACACACACTATCGACACATATGCAACTACTTACGCGTACCTGTTTTGTTTTGATTTTAGTGTATAAGTTATAGGAAATTGGAATTACTTATTACGCTGCATATTCGATCATTCCAATTTCGAATAACGGTGTTTACTTATGTACGATTAAAAGATCAGGCTATTAGATTCTTTTCGCTACGCTGGACCTGATAGCTTATTATTAAATAATAAAACGGGGCAGTGCAATACGACAGACGATATACAAAATACCGAATTTCTTACAACGCGAATACCAATTTTACGATACGTTTTGTATGGAGCAAGTGTTATATATATTGTATACAATATTTTACCAAACATTATATATTTATTATGTAAAATTTTACACCGTGTTATTAATAAAGTCTTTATCCATCTCATGAAATTTCTTCGTATACTCGGAGGGTACCTCCACTTCCTTCAAGTTGTCTAAGCCAATCTCTTCCTCGGTTCTATAACAGACAAATATACATTTTTATATCTCACTTGTACGACAGAAAACATTAAATATCTCTTACTCAAATATTTACTTTATCAAAATGTCTACGACATTTTCGCATGCCAATAAGATATTTGTGTCCTTTTCCCACTTGTGAAATTCCCTAAGTATGATATATGTATTTTTTTCTCTCAATATCTGCCTAGCTGCTTTTGTTGCACAGAGTTGATTCAACGCTTCCAAAAGCATAAGTCTAAAATTATATGACAATAATGATATTAGTCCTTTGTTTTTCTGGCTTTGTAGAGTGTCTCATAACATATGGGATCCACTTCAGCAGCGGTTGGAGGATACAAAAACAATGGAAAAAGTTAATATATATTCTATTTGATCTTATTTCAGAGTTATAGCCATTTTTATGCTCCAATAATGTATAACTGCATAAAAGGTATTCGAAATGATTATTTTTGGTCTGTATGTAAGCTTACAATCGTTGTGTCAAAGAATTTCTCAATTTTCCAAAAAATGGCGAAAGTGTTAAATAAACAATTGTTTTCATGCGATTCTAGAAGATAATTTAAATTTGACAAATGCGCGAGCAAGCCAAGCAATAGGCCCTGCATGTTCTATCCATTTGTTGCGAAATAGTTTGTTTAAAAACCATTTGGCTACTTGGAAAATGGTGATGCACTATCATGCATAAACCATATGCAATGTACAACGCGAGACGGAGCTTTCCGAAAATCGGCCGGAAAGTGTATCATTTGCCGAGATCTATTATATATTGAAATTTATTATTCTATCTCTGATGAATCCAGCTTCGTTAGTAAAAAACAGAAAATATTGATCGGCGATAGATATCTCCAGAAACCAAGCACCAAAAATAATTCTTAAAGGGAAATCATCTTTAAGTATATGTATTCGTCGATCATAGTACAGATAAAGCTGTTGGTTTCACAAAACATATTGCCACGTGTTTGACGTTCTCTACTCTTGCTATACTTCAGATATTGGTGCTATAATTTTCTTCAACATGATTCAAGGTTTTTCAAAATTAACAAATTAAATTTATTACCGCTATTACCCGCCTTTTAAACAAACCTGTATCTCGTAGGTGTTCATGTGTAATTTTTTAAATATTTTCTTATATATCTATTAGAAAAACGACCCGCGTATAGACATTTTATTTAAATTAAAATCGGCAAATCCGAATATATTCCATACATCAAATACATGTCTACCATGTCCTGGTTTGAATTTATTATTATTTTTAAGATACAGCAAATTAATGAGTTGTCAAGTGATCTTATGTCCGTTTCTACCAAATTTAGTTAACTGGCTGATTATTCCAATGAAATTAACATATCGCATTTATTAATTTTGACTAATGAAAAATGTGATTGGTCAATTCCATTGGAATAACCAAATGATTAAGTTAACCAAAGTAGGTAGAAACATTTTTTAGTAAGAAAACGAATTGAAATGAAAAAATTCAATCAATATAATGTGTGAAATTAATAAAGTTAGGAAATATCAAGATGTCAAGGACAAATTCCTATAAGTCAAAGATAGTCAAAAGAAAGCAGCTATCTACATCTAAAATTTGGACATGAAATGTGTTAGAGACGTATCTTATATTCTGACATCTAAGGCTCGGTTGCACCAACGTTATTTTGGTTTTAAGTGACACTTAAAATATATGTCTTTATTTATATAAAAAGAAAGATAAAGATATATATATGTTTAAGTTTTGCTTAAAGCCAAAATAATGTTGGTGCAACCAGGCCTAAGAGACGTCTTCAAAACGTCTTTTAGGCGTCTTAATCTTTGTCCACAATCTTGCTTTAAAACGTAAGCCATAAGAAATTGACCAATCATTGTCGATTTTTAGAAGAATAATCGGCTGTAGTTGATCAATTTCTTACAGCTTACGTCTTAAAGCAAGGTTGCGGACAAGGGCTTATGTTCCAATTGTAGACATTGTGTTATGTGGCTACACATTACATTACTGAAGCATAAAAATGACTATAATGCTGAAACAGAAGTTTCAGGTGACGCTAAAGTTCAAACAAGACACATGTTTATATAAACTTTTCTCCTAGCTTTTGTCTCTTATCCATTGAAGTAGATCTCACATGTTAGAACATCCTGCATATCAATATATCGAGTATGATTTACCTTATATCCGGATCAGGTTCTCGAGTCTTTGTTTCAGGCAGATATTGCAAACTATATGGTAATTTGTCATTGTCTTCATCATCAAACTCTTCTGGACCAGCAAGTGGCAATAATAGATAGGATAATAAATCCACTTCTGGACTCAGCAACCATTCGTGATTTTCTGTGTCGAAAGTACAATTTTTTAAAGTACCAACAATACCGCCGCGTCTTATCGTGTCAGGATGTTCTGTAAACGGAAATAGTCGTTGAATAACACAATGAACTCGATCCATCAAGTATCTGAAATGAAACACATGAATCTGTAGGATATAACTAGAAATTCAAAAAAATTTAATTAAACATTTAGCTATGTAATACCTTCTTACACGTGGCGACTGACTGATATTGCTGAAGACTGGCCCAAGATAATGTATTTTAGCACCTGTAGTATTATATTGCTTTGCAGTAAATGCAGCCACTATTGCATCCCAGCTATAACCACACTGTTCAATCAATGTTATCACTCTGTCAACTAAATGAAAAGGTCTAGTCATATTGGAAAGTATCATACAACATGGATCTGCCAAAACACTAGATTTGTCCATTATAGATCTGCAAAATAATATATACAATCATATTTTAATGAGGTACCTGTATACTATGGAACATAAATTAACAAAAAATATATAATTTATTTACTTTATACAAACTTCTATTAAATTGAAACTATGTTCTGATATATTTGTTGAAGTGTTTGATTCAGAAATAATTAACAATGCGTTAGTTCCTGATTCATCTCCAGTAATATTTACTAATGCCGACACAGCATCCTTGCTAATAGGAATTGAAGAATCTTGTGTGAGAACAACAAGCTGTTTTAATATTTCTGCTAACTCCAACAAGATTTCTCGGCCATCACTTGTGGCTGTCATACCTATGTATGAAATATTTTATTTAATTAAACAATATAATTCAATTTCATTATACATTATGTTAATGATCATCTTTTTAGTAAATAATAGTGCAAAAATATATCATTTATCTTTCAAATAAGTAATCTATAGAATTTAGAAAAATATAAAATACAGAAAAATATTTTTCTACATATATGTATGAAATATTTATATAAATACGTAATGAACTATTTATAATTAAATATTAAACTTATATAAATACGTAATTAAATATTCCAATACTTACCAAGTACATAATTTAATGTAACAGCTTTCAAATCCAATCGAGTATCATGTTTTAGATATCCAGCAACTTTCTGCAGATATTCCATTATTACATTAGTACGAATTATTGAATGGCACTATTGTTAATTTGCATGAAATAAAAAAGGACGAAGTCGAACTCCGTGAAACGAAAGTAGTCCTGATTCATAACCTCTAATTGAGAAGGAATCCACTAAAAGAAATAACTTCTTAAGCTGATATTACATGTGTCATACGACAAGTTTTTCGGATACGTTCATTGGTTGACGAACAAAGAACCTAGAAATACTCTATTCACCAACCAATAAACGTATCCGAAAAGCTTGTCCTAATGCAGTGCAGCTACAAAGAACATGTCTTAAATCTGCGCGGTAAAACTTACGTGTACGCAACTAGTTAGAGAATCGAGCCCTTGGTCAGTCATGTTTTCAACCACGCAATTATACGCTTAAGGCCATCACACACAAAATTCCGTAAGAACTTAAAACGTAAGGAAATCGACCAATCCCAATCGAGCACTCGGCTCTTCGTACCCCCTCCATTATTACGAAGAACCGAATACTCGATTGGGATTGGTCGATTTCCTTACGATTTAAGTTCTTACGGAATTTTGTGTGTGATGGCCTTTAGTATGAACACGAATTACTAGAAAAGAAAATGGGCGTAAAATGGACACGCATCATTTTACCGGCAGGGTCTGAAAATGGGCGTAGGGAATGTAGTTCCACCTAAAAAATGGGTGCAGATGGCGCATCGAACCAGCGTGAAAATCGGTGTCGGCCAAAACGTATGGCATGGCCGCTCTCAGGTTTTTCTCTATCGCTATTCTTGACTCATAAAGTCGAGTCAGAAAAGTTTTTGAATGCAGTCCAGGATTTTGTCAGTTCTTTGACGTTATTAAACACTGGTAAACGCAAGTATAAGTGTAAGTAATTTATTGAAACTCATCTTAGTGGAAGCTTGAAGCCAACATTGAAAAAGAAAGTGAGTAAATAATTTATAAACACATTTTTACATTTGGTATAACTATATTTGTTTAATTTATAAGAGTTTATGATGTGTTAAAAGTAATATTTGTTAAAGTGTTGCTTATAAATAATTATATAATTAAAAATTACATGAATTGAAAACTCTAACCTAATCTCTCACCTAACTTGAATGTGCACGAGGCAATGGCTCAAGCTCGCCGGCATTCTTCTCCTTTCACGTTATATAGGCAAGGTTTATTTGATGCTGCAAATGTAAAAAATATGTCGTATGACTTCATTTATCATAACTTCATTTGAATATTTGTAGCTTTTAATGGATCCTACAGGTTATAGATTGCTATCCTTGTTTGCTGTGTGTAAATATAATGTAGTGAATATTTTATATATATATAAAATATTGTGTGTGTGTTTATATGTGTGTAATCTTACAAGTATAATGCGTTTGAAGAAAAAGTAATTATATAGAAAAAGCTTTTCGACTTTTTTCATTTTATAAAAAAAAGTAGAATTCTATGTAATTTTTACAATATAACTATATATAAAGGATCGCATGTTGTTTTCGGGATTTATAACTTTGAGGTATCGGAATTATATGTTGAAATATATTTGCAATGAAAACGCGCGGTTTCCGTTATCTAATTAATTTAAATCGTGATACTCCTAACCTAACATAACCCAACCCAACCTGTATTAACATGATATCAATATATATTATCAGAAGTTGTTTATTTCTATAATCATACATCATATTATCCTAGGACATCTTGTTGTGTAAAGTAGTTTTTCTGAATAAATAGTTTCTCTAATATAATTATATATAGGTATGTGTTTTTTTGTTTGAACGGATAGTCTTTCCAATGTAGTTAAATATGTATGTGTGTGTGTGTGTGGGGATAAGTAATTTAAAAAATATTTCCAGTGATGAGTTTAAGCGGTCTGACGTCGTTGATTCAGGCAGTTAATATGACACATTGTTTCGCGATTTTTAGATCTCCTAATTCCGCTTCCTTTGTCCAGAGTCTGAGAGAATCTCCATTCCAAAATCGTGCAAATAATTCTATCTTTTTCGTCCCGATTGCTGGTATTCGTTCTTGCTTTTTCTGTTGTCGCATATAAATTCGATTGTTAAACGATGGCCATACATTTTTCCAAATAAAGTTGTAGCGCTTCTGGTTATCATAATTGAGAAAACGCTGACGCGTTCGCGCAGTAATTAGGAATATATTTAAACCTTCAAAGTTTACAAGTTTGTAATATAAAATATATACTACAGGAGGACTACAATATTTGAATATTATATTAATTAAATTTACTTTCACACTTTATACTGTTATTTCGACTCTTATTATGATTGATTACAAACGCGAACGTGTCAACAGCATTTCTTTGCCTGAACAAGTTAACCTCGCTCAGGCAGCATTTTGACCACGTGGTAACCTCTCTCGCGTATCTGTGATGCGCACAAGGTTATGTGTGTGTGTGTGTGTGTGTGTATGTGTGTATTTTTTTTATTGACCAAACGGATATATTTCAGTTATAATCTTAAAAAATTCTTCAATCCCTTTTAAATAATCAAAACATTAAAAATTCCATTAAATATCCAATATAATGTTATTTGCGATATTACAAAATATAATATAAATATATTACATGCACATGTATATCCATATACATATACTATATATACATATAGGATATGTATGTACATATATACACTCATACACACATACATATACATACATACATATCTCTTTCTCTTTTCTTTCTATATAAAAAATTACTGAAGATAAATATATCAATAAATCCATACTAAACATTATATCTCTGTTTCTCAGATTGGGTTACGTATCCGAGAATAATAATAATAATAATCGTGCTTCTTCAAACTTGGATAAAGTTCACTAGCAATATTCTATATTGAAGTATGGACAATAAAAAATAAGATTAATTTATTTTAATTTTCGTAGATAAAAGCTGTAATGCAAAATGGTCAAAGCTAAGAAGAACTTATCTGAATTTGCACAGCAAAAGCGTGCATGGAAGGATAAAAAACAGTTGAATCCATTTGAAATACATATTAATAGAGAAAAACAGAAGGTACTTGGCCGAAAGAACAAAAATGATCGTGGGCTTCCAGGCATTTCAAGGGCAAAGGCTATCAACAAACGTAAACAGAGTCTTCTTCAGGAGTATAAGATGCAAAATAAGGACAATGTTTTCTTAGACAAACGTATAGGTGAAAGAGATTCTGCTATGAGTGTGGAAGACAAAGCAATGGCAAGATTTGCCAGACAACTCAAAAAAATGCATAAGAAAAATATGTATAATTTAAATGACGATGAGATACTAACCCACAGAGGCCACACACTTGAAGAGATTGAGAAATTTGACGATCCCAGAAGCGAAGATGAGTTTAGCGATGAGGAGAATAGTGGCAAGTTGGATAAAAACTTTGTAGATGGAGCTCATTTTGGAGGAGGGCTACTGTCGAAACCAGAAACCACTTCATCTAGGAAAGATCTGATCGACCAGCTTATTGCAGAATCAAAGAAACGTAAGGCTGAAAAGCAGAAAATACGTGAACAAACGATAGATCTAACAGAGAAACTCGACTCCGAGTGGAGAGACCTTTTACCTCTCATGTCTGCCTCGAAGAAGACCGACGAGGACGCGACTGAAACGACAAAAGCTGATGCTTACGACATAACTGTGCGGAAATTGAAATTCGAAGTTAGGGGTAATCCATCGGATAAATTAAAGTCGGAGGAAGAGATCATTCAGGAAGAAAAAGAGAGATTAGAGGCACTTGAAGCAGACAGATTAGCAAGAATGAAGGGATGTATGTCTGAGACAAATAATAAATCTAAGCATAGATCTGCCGATGATCTCGACGATGGATATTTAATAGAGACTATTGCTGAAGATACTGACGACAAAATTGACGATAACACAATGACCAATAATAGCAAAGATAGCGATAGCCATCAAGACGAAATATCTTCAAACTCGTCCAATGCTGAAGATAGATCTGATCCAGAATCGAATAGCGAAAATATAGGAGACGAAGATTCTGAAGATAATTTCTCAGATCTGGAAGAGTCTGAATCGTCTAGCGAGGATGAAAACAAAGCAGTTAAAAAGCATGTTATGTTTTCAAATGGCCTCACGGAAGAAACCAAGCAGACGAAACAGCATGAAGTGATTTACCCGAAGCCAATATTGAAACAGAATAAAACGGACATACAGAATTCATCGAGCAAAGATAAACAACAGGAGATTATAAATGATCTTTTAAAACGAAAGGAAGTTATGGAGAAGACGCGAGAAGAACTTCCTTACGCGTACAGTGTTCCAGAGAGCTTCGAGGAATTAAAAGAATTGTTAGAGACTCAAACTTCGGAGTATCAATCGATCATCGTAGATCGTATTCTAAAGTGCAATCATTGGACGTTAGAAACAAAAAACAAAGAAAAATTATCAAAATTATTTGTGTATTTATTACAATATATTCATGATTGTGCTTCTCCAGATAATGCTGACGATCTGGTCAGGTGTTTCCAAATTTTTGACAGGTAAGCATAATTTACATTCACAAAATATACTACAAACATATCAATATATTAATTATTTCTATAATTTTTTTTTCCAGATTGTGTCCTTATCTTTACGATCTAACACATATGAACCCTGAAAATGCCAAAATTTGCATTCAGGATATAATCAGGGAAAAACATGATGAATTTGAAGCAAATAAACGGAAATATCCTGACATGGATACGGTATGTATAAGGCCATATACAACATGTTTCTAAATGTTTTCTTTAACTAAAAAATATTAAAGAATAGCATGAGAATAGCAAAAATCTGTGTTTAAAGAAAGTAATGAGTGCTGCAATTTCGAGGGACGTAACTTATTTATAATATACTATTTTAATATACGTCCTCGTGCAATATATGAAAAGAGTTAAATATAATAATATATAATATAGTTTTACACTATTTTTTGTTAAATTGAAATATTTACAATGTGTTTTAGCTTATATTCTTTAAACTGGTATCCTTACTGTTTCCAACGTCTGACTTTAGACATCCTGTTGTTACTCCCTGTTTGGTATTTATGTCACAAATATTACTCAGAAGCCGTATTAAAACTCGAAGTGATGTCGCAAGAGGTCTTTTTATATGCACACTGATCTTGGAGGTTAATATAATTGAACTTTTTAATTTTATGATATAAGATTAAGCAAATACATTTAACGATTTTTGAATATGTAGTATGCAGCATTTAGCAAACGATTTCTACCATCCGCCATAAACTTTTTACGAGGGATTGTATACACAGCCACATCCGATATATCAGTACAGAAAATGAAAATTATACCGCCTTTTAAAGCAGGACGTAATTTTCTAGTACTTGATGAAAAATTGACTGACATGGACATTGATCCAAATGGTGCACATATGATGGCAAGTGATTTAATACTTGAAGAAATGGACAATGGGTTCAAAATAAGAGCTCTACTCACCGCTGTAAATCTGATAAAAGAATTTAAAAACCAATTACAAGAATTAGAAGCAGTATATTCGATATTTGAACCAATACATCAATTATTGAAAGTTAATAAGTTCAAAACCTATCCATTAAATCTGAAAAAGCACATAAAAACGCTTCGTAAGGAAATTGAAGTTTTACAAAACGCAAAGTTGAAGTATATAGTACTTGAAAAGAAACTGCCAAAACCTTTAAGGCAATATGAACCAAAGATAATGACAGTGTATGTATAAATTACTTAAAGTTTTTATTTAAAAAATGTTATGTAATCTACATGTATACTTTATAGAGGACAAAATGTTATATATAAGTGGTTATTTATTAAGTTATTATTTACAGTCAACAATGTGGTATTATTTTAAATAATATCTTTTTATAGATATGATTGTAAACAACATAGGCCCATGTCCAAGGAGAAGGCAGAAAGAGAAAAGCTATTGCATAAATATAAGAAGGAAATGAAGGGTGCCATGCGCGAGATCAGAAGAGACAATTCCTTCTTGGCTAAAGTGCGGATTTCGCAACAAATTAAGAGCAACGCTGAATCTAAGCGTAAAGTCAAAGAAATTTTCGGTGAGATTGCGATGCAACAGAGCGAACTAAAGAAGATGAGGAAGAAATAGTGAAGAATGAAGAAATGTACAATTATAGAATTGCAGTATAAACATCATTCTTCTCTTCCTTTTTTTTTAAATAGTACTCTAGAAAAAGAGAGAACTGTATTTTTGTTTATTTTTCAAATTCATCATGCTTTTATATACAAATTTTACAAATCCATTTTCTGGATTCATATGTGCTAGATTATATAAAAATAAAGACACAATCTAGAAAAAAAAATTAAAGGTATAATTATTACACTGATATATTTGTAACATATTTTACAGATATTTATACCAACTAGTGTAATGCGCACAGTATGTATATTATGTATATATATTATGTATGTAAATATGTAATATAGTAATTTTAAAATACATTTTTAAGTATACATAATCTCTGGTATCATGTTCTCTATACACATTATAAATATCTGGTTCTCAAACTGTAAAACTTCTATTTGGCTAAGTACCTTCTGCATTTCCTTGCATATATTATTTTTCTCAAGTACTTGATTAATTTCATTTCAGATACATCGAAATTAAGCTTTGGATTCAGTATAAAACAAGATTAAAGTACCAAAATTTTCTTAATAATTGATTTGTACAGATATGTTTCAATACAACTAATTGATAATTGATTCAAACAAAATCAATCAAAAAATATTTAACTGACAGTTGATTTCAACGAATTCAATTAAAGACTGTTCAATTGACCATTGGTATGAACGATGGATGGAAGGCATCAAAGATCGTTTAACTAACAATTGAACTTAGCAAATTTAATTAAACGTTATTTAATTGATATGAGCAAATTCAATTGATTCAATCAAAGAACATTCAATTTACTCAAGGTTACAATTGATTTGTGGATCAAGCGGCATGATAGTGATTGCGACGCCAACCCAGATAGCACAAATAATTAAAAAAGAATTCAGTCGTATGTCACCAATTTGGAGTTCATTTTCAGATGCAAAAAGAATTCTTCAGAGTTCAGTTTAATGACAAGAATTCTTTTTGCATCTAAAAATTAACTCAGAATTGATAATATACGACTGAATTTTTGAATTCTTTGTGCTATCTGGATACATAACTAACTATAATACTCACTAACTAAATAATACTACCCATACAAAAGTTTGAAAAAGATTTCAGAAAGATCTCAGAAAGATCTCAGAGAAAGGTTCAATATTTGTGCTGTATGGGTAACTAACGAAATAACTAATAAAACACAATATTCAGATAGTAATATAGAATGCAAATAGAATACTATGAATGTTTACAGATTTTCTACTTTTCACAAATAGGACACGACAATAGGATACGTGGCCTTATATGGGTTTTTTAAGGCCGGACAAAAACTTTTCAGATAACATGCAACATTTTGTTGCATAGACGTCTTTTAGATATCTTTTTGACATCTTTTAGACATGCATGTTACCTAACCACTACGATGCTGGTCACAAAGGAACTGACAATTCTGGGCGCTCTTTTGCACACAAGTTTCTCCTACTCCTAGCATTTTTTAGGAGGGGGCAGAAAATCTGGGACCCTTCAATGTGCTGAAAAATTTCTATAAGTAGAAATCGTCCGGACTCGAAATACCGATATAAGGTCACTAAGGGTTAAATCATATGTCTCTCTTTATTTTTCCTTCAATTTAGACAAATAGCGTATTCAACTGCCCTGGGTTAATCGCTCCGAGAGTGATTAATGACGTCATAAGTCTCTATTAGCCAATCATAAAGCTTATAAATACTTGTTCGACTAATAAACGTAGGCTGAATAACCCAGAGCCAGTCGAACATACTAAAAAATAGACGTATGATTTAACTATCAGTTAATTTATCAAGAAGTTGATACAACCGGTCCGCAGCCAATGATGACATTACAGTACAACTGTCTATACTAAACTAGGGTTGCATTCCTAGATTGCATTTCAAAACGTTCTTTTTGAGGAAAATTTTACTCAATACCTATAGTTCACGTCACATATACTATAGAATATCGAAAAAAATTTCCTCAAAAAGGACGTTTTGGAACACAACCTAGATTGCTAACAAGGGCTTCGAATGTGTGTCGCGTAAAGTTTCCGGTTGCATGCGAGAAAATGGCGGCGGTTCTGTGTGTGTGACGTTGTGTATGTGACGTGTCACTTATGTGAGTACTTACACGTACAATGTGAATCAGCATGGCCATTAAATTACTGTCGTAAAACCAAAAATGCCAGCATCTTATCGCATCAAAAAATGTCGTAATAAAAAAATAGATGGTATTGGACGTTATTTGCTCTGCTCATTTTCAACAAAAGAATTTTATGACTAAACATATTGAAATATTTGGCAGTAGCGGCCATTTTGTCGCATGCACCGGAAACTCTATCAGACACAATCCATTACATGCTTTTAGATAGCCTGTTAGCAATCTAGTTTAGTATAGACATTCGGGGTCAGATTCTCGAAAATATCTCGCATTCGACATTTAATGAAAAGCTATAGTATACATAACATCAACTATAGCTTTTCACTAAATGTCGTATGCGAGATATTTTCGAGAATCTAGCATCTGTGCATCACAACCAGTCGAGTCGATTGGCTGTGACGTCGCGTACGCATGCGCACGAAGGCTGCCGCGTGGGAAAGATTCCCACGCAGCGCATCACTGGCTCACAGTGGAAACGGGTAGTTCGCGATGTAATAGTCGGCAGACGGGGAGGTTATTCCTGATGCTGACAATGCTCGATCATGTTAATCCTTAGTTGACAAGAAGTTGACAGTTCACAGCGTAGACCGATTTCCTGTTGATAATCCTTACGCGCGTTGAATATATATGTATGTATATATATATGGGCCTCGTTTTAACCGCTCATTGTAATTTCTTTTTTACGGTATTATTTTATCATTTCGTCGCTCGCACGTCTGTCCGCCTAACATTGTACGAACTGTTCGTTATTTGACGATATGATGCCAAACACGGACGTTTATGACAATTTGTACCTGTGAGTATCAGTATTTTTCTATTTATCTATTTTTCTAATGCTTTGTCGATCGACACCAAGTGAACCTTGAAAATGTCGACTCGATGTTTCGCACTGAATCGCTAATTTCAACTGCTACCTCACCAAGGTACGCCACTCCGGAGAAATTTTATGTGGAACCGGTCGGGACCAAAGTCCTGCTAGTGGTTGATAGAGTGAGTCAGCAGATCTATACTCAAGGTAAATCAACAACTGTCTCTATCTCTGTTTCTTCATCAATCAGCTGATTTAATGAGAAATTTGTGCTCTTGGCGCAGCTGGCACAGCTAGTCAAATTCCAACAACTGCCAGCCGTCGGAAGATATGGGGCTTGGTTGGGACTATACGTCTCTTAGCATGTCGTTATCTTATTGTCATCATGGATGCTCAAATGTGTGGCACTATAGCAGGCCATCAGATCTATAGGATAGCCTCCACTGAGGTGATACCCTACACAAGATCATTTCTTCATCTGACTGAGAAGCAAGTGCAAAGCAATACCATGTACTTGGAGATGATGAGATCTGTCTTGAGCACTCCATACTTCTACTTCAGCTATACGTATGACCTCAGCCACACCATACAGAGGCTCCATAACACCACGCCTGAGTTCTTACAGGTACACACACATACACACACACACACACATATAGAATAACCTATGATAATTGTACATACTAAGGGCAATTTTTGACGATCATTTCGTACATGTATCAGAGTTGAGATGCTCATCCTGGCACTGTAACTATTACACTAAAATATATTGGTTCTTTTTTATGTGCGTAAATTTGAGACTGTTCCAAGATAATTTTTTATATTTATTCCTATTTCATATTTTTTATCTTATGTTCCCAGATAGCACAGAGAATTAAAAAAGAATTCAAAAAGAATTCAGTTGTATGTCACCAATTTGGAGTTCATTTTCAGATGCAAAAAGAATTCTCCACAGTTCAGTTTAGTGAAAAGAATTCTTTTTGCATCTAAAAATGTACTCAGAATTGGTGACATACGACTGAATTCTTTTTGAATTCTTTGTGCTATCTAGGATGTTATCTTACGTGAACATAAGATAAGAAATTACGTGATAAAGTGTGTATAGAGGAAACTATGAGGATAGTTAGCACACGGTTAAAAGAATATCAATTGGCAATTAAATTAAAATACATAATGCAATCTACACTATCAGAATATCAGGATAGAACATTAAGATAGAAATAAGACATCAAATTCTATTTGATTAAATAGCAGTTTTAGTTAAAACTAACGTCTTCTCAAGGAAACATAGGGAATATTGGAAATTTATAAACATCTAAATAACTTCATCAGAGATAGCGGATTAAGACCCAGTTCTGTTTGGCAAATCATCGTGGTCTTCCAGAAGAGTTTATCCTACGGCGTGAAATTCTACAGATCAATGACCGCATCCTCCCCCTATCATTGTTCTGACCCTCTCCCCCACTATGCCCCTTCTTCTACCCCAAATTACCAGAATGGTTTTTTTTTTTCATAAGACACTTCGCAAGAAAGTGGCAGTTTCAGATCGCTCTGTTCCTTGAAGAAGTGAATTAAAATGTTGACAAAACATTGGAACTAAACACAAGGAAGACGCGAAAAACAAGCAAAAAATAAGAATATTCCTATTAGAATTAAAAATTTTCCTATTGATCTCAGAAATATGCTCTCTTAGTTTGTATAGTTTGTCGTGGGACATTCTGTATACGTTGTATACAATTCTGTAATTACTCTGTACGATATCACAAATAAGCAATTTGACATTAGAACTGTGTCATCGTTTAGATGCCGCTTCATGACAGGGCAGATCCTAGGTTTGTATGGAACGCCTACTTACTACAGGATCTAAGTGCCAGACCAGAGCAGTACAAGTTCTGCTTACCCATTATCCATGGCTGTATCCTTTGATATGTATATATACAGTCGTATGCATGAAGATTGTGAAACTTTTTTAGACAAGTTTATGAACAGGCAATTTAATGAGACTGTATATGAAAAATATACCCTACATTCAAGTAGGATGCATCCTACATTAAAATGCAAGGAGAAAGTTTATGAAAGTAAGCTGTTTCCGTTCTTTTTTGTAAAAAAAATTACTTGTTATCATTATTTATTGCCGATTTTAAACAGAGATCCGATTTTAAAGAAGTTACAATAATACTATTTTTGGCTCCTTGAATTTAAACGAAACTAGAGAGAAAATATGCTCCCATATGAGCTTCATAATACTCCAAAAGAATTTAATCTTGAACTTCATCATTTATGAATTGTTACACTTTGAATAAGAACGATTTATGTGAGATTCGACACTTTTCGATGATATTGAGACATTTTATGACAATGTTCCTAACGTTACCACCAAATTTCATCAAAAATTTATCAAGAATATCATCTAGAATAAAAAAGATGAAAACGATACAAATCTGTACACTGTCATTCACAGCATCGAAATCATGCTGCAAATATACACGTTATCGTCATATGTGCTATAGTGATTTAGGATATGGATATTATATTCCACAGTTATAGAGTCGAATTGATTTTTCCATGAAACGTACATACATATGTAAACAAGAAAAATAAGGTGTCCAATAGATCGACTTATTTGGGAGAGGGAAGGGAAGTTAGAGGAACAGGATGTAAAAGGATGGTTCCCTAAATTGTTCTACTTGTGAAGGAGAAGGATCAAATCAGAAAAAAATTCTTATACACTATAACTGTTACTCGTTAAGATGTTGAGCAGATCGTCGATGACTATCAACTATAGGAGAGGTGATAAAACCTTTTCTTAAGAGCAATCTCTGCTCGTTCCTACAACTGTCTTGCCAAGGTTACCTTCACTCTATAGGACTATTAAACAAACAAATTATGTTAAATTAATAAATTACTTTTAACTTAAACCCAACTGTATAGCTACAAATACAGTGAACAAGACAATCTATAAGTCTATATAATCTATAATGATCTGTTCTCTAATATTCTTAAAGAAAACGTATTATAAAGTAACGATAAAGAAACTTATAAGCAGACGCGTAAATACCATTGTATTGTATGAACTTGTCTAAAGGCGTCGCAACTTTTATGTAAATGACTGTATATGAGATGCAATTTTTCATCGTAGAAACAATGCGTAGCCATTTGATGACCTTAACACTAAAATTTAAATACAGTCGTTTCACTGAACACAGTGGTCGTGAACGGCATAGCATTTAATTGGGGTATCGTTTCCAGACGTGGTATACATCGCGCTGGTACAAGACTGTTCTCGCGCGGTATAGATTCCACTGGAAACGTTTCCAATTACGTAGAGACGGAGCAGTTGATTGAGGTGAATGGCGATCGTAGTTCCTTTGTGCAGACACGCGGATCTATCCCTCTGTTTTGGTATCAAGCGCCGAACTTGAAGTACAAGCCGAAGCCGCAGATCAGTCCTCACGAGGACCATCAGAGCGCTTGCGCTCGGCACTTCGACGTTCAGATCTTTCACTACGGAAGACAGATCTTGGTCAATCTGGTGAACTTCTTTTTCCTCATATTATGTAATTCAGTAGCATGTTGATCATAATTAAATAATCATTTTTCATGTAGCCATATCTCATCTGGTAGATATTTCATCTGTCAATTATTTTATTTGTTTTCCTTGTTATCTAATCTCTATTTTCAATGCATCTGTAGTTATAAATTCGATATCTTATATATTTTTCACTGATATTCAGTTCAAACTAAAAGTTAAAACTATTAAAAAATTTTCTTTACAATTACTTAATTTTCAATACATATTGCGAGCAATACGATAAAAACTAAACTTTAACGATCAGCTCAAAAATGTATATAAAAATGTATACTATTTATGATAATAAAAATGTATTTTATGATCTATGGTCATAAAAATATATACTATGATATTTTGAACAGATCGATCAACATGGGCCAGAAGCTCTACTTGAAGAGACATATCGCAATTTAGTCCAAAGAATCAACAACCAAAACGTTCGATACGAGGCTTTCGATTTTCACGCGGAATGTCGAAGATTGAGGTGGGATAAATTGAACAATCTAATGGATCGATTAGCCCACGATCAAGAACAAATGGGTTACTTCCTGCTGATGAAGGATGGAGCGCTGCTGTCGGTTCAGGATGGTGTTTTTCGTACAAATTGTATTGACTGCCTAGATCGGACGAATGTTGTACAAAGCATGCTGGCTAAGCGAGTTCTTAACGAAGTGTTGAGCAGATTGGAAGTCCTTAGGAAGGTGGAGGATCATCCTGCATTTGAAAATCTTTTCAAGCAGGTACGCGTGACGTTAAATTGTTTTTTAAATAACAACAAGATTATATATATGTATATATATATATATATATATATATATATATATATATATATATATATATATATATGTCTTCTTTAAATTTCTAACATTAAATACATAATATTTTTTAACATGTTCGCTACTTCTTTTTATCTAGAAAACTGTTTACTAGAGACTACTTATATCTGTATATGACGCTCGATAACGAACGTGTTGATAATAACGATGATGCAAATAATACCAAATGCATCGAAGTAGATTTTCACTAAATTTCTCTTCAGGTCTGGGCTGATAATGCGGACGTAGTAAGCATACAATATTCCGGCACGGGTGCGTTGAAGACTGACTTCACGCGCACTGGCAAACGTACTAAACTGGGCGTTATGAAAGACGGTCTAAACTCACTCACGAGATATTATAAAAACAACTTCGCCGATGGTTACAGACAGGTGAAATATATATAGAAAATCTTATGAAGAAATTTTCAAGCATTTTTCTCCAACGAGACTGCAATTACGTTTCGTGTGTGACAGGACTCGCTGGAACTCTTTCTGGGTCGCTACATCGTTCAGGATGGCGAATGCACCTCTATTCATTGTCCTTTAGATTCCGAGCGAAACTGGCGTTACGCTACATTCCCACTTGTCCTCATAGTTGCGTCCTCGATGCTGATCGCGCATGTGATCTTGCCGTCGCGTTACACAACGGAGGTCTTGTTGTACATGCTATTTTGGGGTGGCATGGTAGCCGGCACCTTCGCCACCATTATCCATCACGGCAAGCAATACGTTGACAAACCGAAATTACTTTAGATACAATTCTATGGTTCCAAATTATATATATTGTATGATACATCCATCAAAGATGTGCGATAAGCGTGTAGAGTTATTATTTGGATAATTTTTGGTCAATATTTCGGTTCTCATACCGCGGCACAAAGATAGATAGATCTCATCGCGCGACACACTAATGACGCTTATCCACCCGTGAATTAACATCAGGTATCAAAAGGTATGTGTGTGTGCGTGTGTGTGTGTGCGTGTGTGTGCATGTGTGTATATGTGGGAATGTAACGTTATGTTTAAATTTCCATAATTCGATACTGCTGTTCGCGTTTCCGTAACATCGACTGGAGGAAGTCGAGTGGCATTTTTATTTGCGGTACAGGGTCTATGCGGGAACTTGGTGTCCTATTATTACGAATTGTCTTGCACTTTCTGCATAATAGGTAGTAAAGTAACACGATGCTCGAACTCGTTCTTTTAGAGTTTACTTGGCATGTCGTAAGGAGCTCTTGTAACATATTATAGAAATCTGAGCCTCTGGTCTCCGGCAGCATTTGCGTGTGTAAGGCGGTCGCGAACAGAGTCAGACCACAGAAAATGTGTTTGGTACACACCGTCCATAGATAACCGCCTGCGAGACCGATTTGTCAGGCGCAATCGTATGAACAAGCTGAACCGGGGATTGAAAGACTCGTTTTCAATCTCTGACTCTTATTGATTGTTAGAACTTTTGTAATGTTGGAACCTTCTCGTACGAATATAAACTCATAGTTGTGTCTTGGATATATTTTGTGATGTTTGAAGAAAATAAATATTTTTCATTTAATATTTTACTTGCAGAAGTTTTATATTATATCATATTTATATTTCTTATATGAAATATTCTTTTGGATTTAAAGAAAAATATGTGTAAAATGACGTTTTTCATAAGAACAGTTATATATATATAATGAGTTTTTAATTGATTAAATAGTAACAATAGAATTTATATTTATTTCCAATTATAGAATTTATATATATATATATATATATATATATATATATATATATATATATATATATATATATATAT